ATTCACACGTAATCACTCAGCAGAGGCAGAGGCCAAAGAAGAACAAAATGACACGTTGGTTTATACGCTTTTGAAATAAATATATCGTTGCCCTCACCGTCAAAACACCCCGTCAAAAAAGGTGAAAAAACTGAGATTTTAAACACACAGATTAACGAGATTTGTAATAGCAATTTTGAAATAGCAACATTCATTCAAGAGGCTCTGTTTAGCGAACAAAATAGTTAAGAAGTTCAATAGAGGCTAACTATTGGGCAAGGACGGTTGCTTTCTAAAGGCCGCGTTGGTGGCGTGGCTGGAAGATAACATAACAGTAACTCCTTAGAAAGCACACCTAACAAAGAAAGCCGCTCCGTAAAGCGGCTTTCTTTCTTCTATTTCACCTGCCTGTGCTCGTCTTTCTCATCCGCGTTCATCATTTCGCTTTTTTTGACAATTATCATGAATAGGGTACTTGTCTGTCAATATCGTTAGGTGATAACCATTATTTTTTAGTGTCGTAGTTGCTCAATAAGACATCATTCACCTGTCCAAACTATTGCCTCACACGGTTTTGCATCAATACTCTCTTGATAGATTAGAGAATACCATTATCTTTAATTTATACATTACCACTATACCAACCACTATTATGAGAAAGACATTTTTGCTCGCCTGCCTCTTCGCAGTTGCCTGTTTCAATTCCTATGCTCAAACACCCGTAATCAACGCTAAAAACCCCTCGGGTACGATTTCTATCAATGGCAATCCAAATGAAAGCAGTTGGGTATTCTCTACGGTCGTCAATAAAACGATTATCGGAACCCCTAACAATTCAGTTACCTGTGCCGTATTGTGGGATAATCTTTACCTCTATATCGCGGCCAAAGTAACGGATGCCAATAAATTCAATGATTCTTCAAACCCCTGGGATGATGACGCGTTTGAAATTTATATAGATGCTGAAAATAATGGCGGCACCAGCTACGGAACAAATGACCGCCAATTCATGAAAGAATATAACAGTACTACCATTTGGGAAAAGAATGGTAAGACTACCGGAGTTACACATGCATGGTCAAATATTACTGGT